CGCAGGCCAGCGCCTGCCCCGCCGCCGGGCTTGGCCTCCGGGCCCTCCCCTCCTTTTGTTGGGTGCCTGGGGGCCATGTGGTGGTCTGGGTGTTGGGTGGGCGGTGGTCTGCTGCGGGGCTGAGATCCCGAGGGACCAGGTGCACGTCACAGCGGCCAACGGTCGCTTGTCCCGCAGCTTGTACTCCTGAAATTATATCTTGCTTTTTGTAGTTCTTACAGGATCCTGATGAAGAAATTGCTAAAATGGAGATGACTAGAAAAAAGCAGTATGAAAACCAGGTAACCAATTTGGCTTTAGGTCATACTCCTGTAATCTTACTTAACCCTATTATTATTTTGCAGTACTTCATTATTATTGCGAACATGGTACAACAGATACACAGCTACCAGATGCTGTATAGCAATGGGCGAGGGAGACTATCAACCCTGGCTGAGAAGAGTGCAAAGCGCTTCAAGTCATACAGGTTGCTTTGGAGTCTTTGCAAGAGATGAGGCGTGTGTTGGTCTAAAACATTATGTTAATAATTCAGTATATCCAACTGTCCTGGGATTACAAGGGTGCACCTTACGAAAGCCTTAATATGCATTTAGGCCTACACGGAGGGACTCTGCATTGACTTCTCTAGAGAGTTGCAAGAGTGCAGTCATGTGCTTATGTGCTGTACCTTGCAGGCCAAAGCACGAGACACTTAAGCATACGAACAGAATCATCTTTTAAGATGATTCTCTTTGCAGTTATGTCTCTACTTACGTATCACCTGGGAGAGAGGAGAGATTCCCCCATTCCTTCCACCATCAGCTCCATTCCTATTGACAAGTCATTATCAGACTGACAGAGTACGAGGTTCCTGATTAGAACTTTGAAGTTTATACTAGATGCTAATGTGGTGGTAAAATAGGCTTCATTTCTCTGCAGAACAAAGAGATAATTTCTGTAAAGTCACTTAGCTGTGGAAATCAGGCCTGCAGTGGAGGTTAGTAGTGACCATTGCCAGTTTTCTCAGTAAGACATTTAGAATGATCTGAGTTACGAAGTCAAAACTAACTTCAGTAATGTCCTTGCTCCCTTAGTGTCCTTCCTATAATCTTTGAACCTGAGATGCTATTGGTGTCTATATTGGATGCTATGTTGGTAGATGATATTGAAAGCATGATGCTCTAAATAAAACAGAGAGTAGCCTGTTTTCTGAAAGAGGTTTATTCCCCCCGCCTTTTTTTTTTTTCTGCACACACTCACACGTGCTTGTTCAGTCACTGCCACTAGGACTTCAGCCTGTTAATGCACATGCAGGGTGATACTTCAGCTGCAAAAGTCATGATCAGGGAGTACAGACCGTTCTCATTTGGTACGCAAGGCTATGCATAATGTGGCACATCTAACCAGAAGTGGCAGCTGGAAGTTCCAAGACTAAAGTGCTACCATAACAGATGGGCATCATTGTTTGGAATGGCCTCTGCTTGTTGCAACTGCGTATACTAGTTATCAGTCAACATATTAAGCAGGGCTCAAATGGTGAGCATTTAATGAGGGGATCTCTCCTTCCCTTCTGTCTTTCTTTTGTGCAGTATATTAAACTAATTTCTCACTTCTGACAAGGAAGAGCTGCCTGTCCTTCACCACAGCTCTCCTTCACCAAAAGATTCATCCTGTTTGAGCTGAGCAAGGGCTTCTTGTGCATGTTTATTGCATAATAGTGAGGTATTATTAAAAAACCCTCAACAGGGACCCAATTTTACCTTCTTCCAGAAAGACAGTGGAAAGAAACTTGAAATATATTTTGCATACATTGACCTTCAACTTTGAAATTAGATAAAGATTTCCAATTTTTTGTTCTTGTTTGTGTTCCTGGCCTGGTAGCCATTCAGTGTTACTTCAGGAATGATAGGTAAGTTAAAATTTAGATAATTTAGGCAGTAGGCATCCAAAATATTTACTTGGCAATTTTTCAAGTTAAGCTTAGGATACTGGTGGGATTTGGCCCTTTGATTCCGTAAACCATAAATAAAACGGGTACCTGTGTAGCTGTCCGTACATAGAGAAGGTTATTTGTTGTGACAAAGTAGCCAGATTGTTACAGATCTGTTTAAAAAAGCTAACATTTGGCTGCACAGCAGCAGCTCTTCAGTCTATGGTGTGACACAAGCTATTCTCTGATATAAATTGCCACAGGCCACTAATGAGAATACGTTTACGGTTCCAGCAGCAGTATAGCAGGCTTGTATGATAGCCAGTGAGATAGTTAGTCTGTTGAGGCACAACAATTCTAAAATGCAAGTAGCTATAAATCCACTGCAGCCTATACCACATGACTTCTACATTAAATAAATTGTTTACTGACACTAGTTTATGCACAAGGCAAAATATCATAGTCACATCCCACTTTACAGCATCTTCATAGTCAATTCATTAGTTTGCTTCTGTTGAACATAAGGCCTGAGTTCTTAATTAGGATGCTGTTACCCTTTATGTGATGAAAGGGTGACTATATCATCAGGTTTGTGACAGCAGAATATTGCATAAATTCTGTGTTTGATTTTTAGAGAACTGGCACTGCTGTAATTCTGCTAGCAATTCTCATATTAATTCTGGCTGCTTTCTGTGGATGGATACACTTCCAAGGCTCCGTGTAAAACAAAATTCATCTAACTAGATAGTCATCTGTGCAATTGTGATACAAATTACATGGCCACCTCCATCTAGAGTGGAGAACTGAATCTAGAAGTTAGTTTCTTTAGATGAAACTAACTAATGTTTTCAGGTGAAAAGAAGATGGAGTAAACTCTCAGGAAATAGTTTTGGTCAATTTCTCACTGGACATTTTTCCAGAATCCGGTCTTACTGTTGTCAAAATGTTCCACCTAACTGGTTTGAAAATATCCTCCAAAAAGTTTTTAACTAGTCTAGGTTATCTTTGGAAGATCCAATTTAAAAAACAAAACAGAAACCCCAAAAAACAACTTACTAAAGTCTTCAGACAAACAGATAAAGAATGTAAACTATATCCAGGTTGAGAGCTTGACTTGGCCCAAATCTAGGGCAGGACAATATTCAGACTCTTTAGAAAATTAAAAGTAGTAGAAGCTCCTATGCTATTCAGAAAGAATTGGAACAACTTAATAATGTGAGTTGCTCTTCTCTCTCCTATTTATTAATTCTGGAATCTCTTTCTGATGGCAAAGAAAAACCCTATACTTCAAACTAATGCATCCTGTGAGTGAAGAATGGCTAGAATTATAAGTCTTGCTATTTTTGGTGGGCAAACTAAGGCTGCAGTCTAGTAGTTCATATCAATGTGTCTCTGTTACGAGGTGCTGCTTTTTAGGGCGAGACAAACAGGCCTATATCCCCCTCCTGTTCCTCTGCCTTCAATTTCCATGCTGAAAATCCTCTGACTTTGCTGTTTGAATGCAGTTCTGGGTC